CGATTGCCATAGTATCGTTGAGAAAAGCTGCTTCTACTTTCATATGGCAATATGTCGATAGGCGTGGCGCTTACCAGTGCGACGACTGTACGCATATCTGCTGTAGAGCGTTCAGGTGCTATATGACCATCAACTTACTATATCCCACCGTAATGGTAAGTGCGTTCACGCAGAGAAGACAGAGGTCAACAACATGGCTATTATATTCCTTCAGCGGCTAATGGCTCTCGCAAGTTCGACATAATTCTCTCTAGTGTCGTCTACGTACGTTCTAGTAGGTGATGTTTAAAATTGAGTCGATTATCTATCACGAGCCGCGCAGCGTAAGAGATAAGTGTATGATACGCTCCAGGACTCGTGTTCTGCACACTTTTATCACTTTTCGGCTACTTATTAGCACTGCTTCTTCTGTTTTATGCTTCGTCCACACTCTAGGCTCGCCTCGGTCAGCCACACCTTGACTCGTGTGGCTGCCTCGGTAGATTTCTCTTCCAAACCTTCCGCGCGCTTTGCAGTCACTATAACTGCTACAGAGTCAATAATTGTTGCATCCGCTCGATGTTGTAGCCTGAGAATGCAGAACATCGTTGTACATTGCGTCCCATAAACGTAAATCAGGGATCGATCCCTGTGGGACGCGGGTTGTTATTCTACATACTTCTGTGCCAATGTCGCTTTCGTATATCAGCGAACGGTTGGAGATGAAACGTGTTATGAGATCACACACACACACGCATAACCATATATATGTATGTGTAATACATTAGGCTTTATGCGGTTTTCATATTAACAACAACAAAATTAACTTTTACACATACACATCGAATTCGATTTTTTTTGTTTTTTTCTTGTCTTTTTTAATGTTGATGTTGCGCAAGCTCACGCCATGATCACATTAGCACCATTATCATGATCATAAATAATTAAAAAAATGATCTACAATTAACCACAAATATTTGTGATATCAAAACCATTAAACGCAATTCAATGAATACGATTGAGCTACTTTAGTTAAATACACTCACAGATATACACGCGTTAAGAAGTTCTTTTTTACTTTTTGAGATATTTAATCCAAGACCGTATATCGACTGTACTTAAGCCGCAAAGTCGATTATGACACTCCACGTAAAGAACCATGAAATTTAGAAACCACCAGATGTGCAAGCACTAAAAAAAGTTTATTAACCACTCAGTCAGTCAGAAGGCAGTCGATCTTGTTAAATGCGCGTACATTTGATCAGCGATATAAAAAAAATAAACCTAATAATATAACATTGAGAAGAGCCGCTCTATTACAATATTCACTCTATTACAGTATTCACAAGAAATTGACATGAAGAGGTTATCCTAAGAAAATAAAGCAAACTCATGACAATGCAGCGAAGACAGACAGATGTGGTTAGGGGTTTTACGTGGGTAATTGCCGTGAAGGCTTAATCCGACGGCGCACATTAGCGCACGGAGTAAAGGGCGCGTCGGACGCGCCCCACAGGTAGCAAAGCTACCTTACAGTTTCAGACTAAGAACATTATGTGGCATTTCCTTCCCTCTGACTGGGGCGAGGCCTATCTATCTAACACCTCAAATGTTTAATGTTTCCGCGAATTTGCGAGCAATCACAGCCACCACGAAACTCCCGCAATGGGCCGTTCGCGCTGTCAGCCAGAAAAGAGAAAAAATATAATTATAATTTTAAAGGACGAAATAATAAAAGCCTCTGGTCGGGCTTCCCGACCGGATCAGGTCCCATATAACCATGAGATTCGGTTTGGGATAGAGTTTGCACAATGAGACTGAGATTGTGAAACCAGTCAACACAATGCACATGGACATTGTGTTCTCACTGAACAGTGAAGGCAGAAATTAGTAGCACGCGAATATCTATATGTATAGAAATAGATTTTTCCAAAGGGGCCATTATTTGGCCATTCGTGCTTAACTCAAAACACATTAGCTTATCAAACTTGGTCAAAATATCCGTTGCATTGCTTAAGCTGACAAAGAAAAACATCCAGCAATCATCGGACTGATAGTGAGAGGGACAGCAATTAAATTTACAAAAATTTCACCGATACTTTAGTATCTGTACAACAATGGGAAAAAGTCGCCATGCCTATCCAATATTTTAGTGTATTAAAATTCAATTGTTTTTCAAATGCGCAGAAGCAGAAAAACCCCCGAAAAGTATACAATGTATTCTTGATTCTTGAGTTTTAAATCCAAAGAGCAGCTAAGCATGTCCGTCTGTCTATCTTTACGTCTGCCCAACTGCGCTAAGCATTCTTCCGTTTGTCTTTATATGCAAAAGAATTTAAAAACGATCTGAATCGATCAAAGGATCCGCCTACAACACCCATACGTCTACGCAACAAAATCTATGAATTCCTTTGTTTCGTTGTCGTATTTTTTGCTTGTTACTCAAAAAGCCCTACACGACCAACACATAGAAAATAGAAAATATCAGCCCCGTCGATCCAATATGATAGATTATGAAAATGTAGTTCGTTTCCTTTTTCTTTGCCGCTTTTAATATAACGATGATGGGTACAAAAGACTCGGTCACGACTTGCATTATTACATTAAGTACATTAAGTTTCTGCGTCTGTATGCAACAATCAGAGAGAGTTGAGAAAGACGCACCTTATTATTAAATCGATCGATTCAGAATAACTTATTGAATCGATTTAGGCTTGTCTGTCCATCTATCTTTCTTTCTTTTCTTTTAAAATTTTCATGAAATTTAGTACAACGATGTATTTTGGCTCATGGATGAGTGCTATCCAAAATCATTCATATCAGATCATTTTTTCAATCAATTCCCATATAATATATTATATCGAAAAGTTGCTATATGAATACATGTATTAAGCAAAATGGTATACGCTGTTCAATGGTGTATTTTGGCCCACTTATTATATATTATAATGGCTTGACTTGTTGAAAAACTAAAATATGCAGAGAACATCCAGCTTTACTGCTCAAGTTTCTGTCTTAAGTCTTTGGCTTCAACGTAAACGACAGATCGCCCTATAACATGCGTTCATATAAAACGAATTCCTATAACACGTTAAAACTAGGCTCGAATTATATGGTATAAAAACGGAACGGAAAAATATATATATCGAACAATGTTTATACATTCCTTTCTCTCTGTCTCTCTCTCTCTCTCTCGGGCTGTTCCTTTCTTCATAAAAAAAAAAAAAAATATTATCATCTAATACCTTAAGTCTGATGATTAAAGAAGATTATTTTAGAAATAAGAGGAAAATTTATCGATTTGGGCTATGAACGACTCAGGTATATTTTGTTGTAATCTAAACGAGTCGTATAACAGGCCTTTATATAACACGGAATAAATCTACAGTGTTATGTAGAGGATCCATTGTACTGCAAAGTTTCTCATAATATTTTAATCAGTTTTCTTCACTGTCGCTAATGTAATTTCAATTAAACACACACACATGCACACTTTCTCCATAACATATATGCAAACATCCACCCATCCATTCATCCATCTATATATTCACACACACACACACACACATATATATATATATATATATATATATATTATGTCTATATATACGCATGATTCCACGCACACACAAATACAATTTAACATTCGCTTTATTTAATATTTCAGTTTACACTAATTTCAAAGTGTAATAAATGGATTTTTTTTTTATTATTTTCAATCCTCTTCAAAAACTCTGACCGCAATATAACAAAAAAAAAAAAAAAAAATTAAACGAAGGCCCACAAACATACAAAATAACCTTCACCAAGTAAAGTGAAGAGAAAAAGAGCAAAACATTAAATGCATATAGACATAAGAGTTTAAAACATTTAACTTCATTGCATAGAAACAATCATCGTAATGATGATGAGTTGAATTGTTTGTTTTCGTGTGATGTGTGGTGCGATGATGATGATGGTAAATGTTTGTAAAAATGTTCTCTAAGCAAACAATTTAAATGAATACTCAGCACTATGCTACTGTGCATAATTCACAAACACACGCACACACACACAGGCAAATACACACATAAAAATAATGAACAAATACACATAAAGATCATAATGATGATGATGATGATGATGATGATGGTGTTGTTGTGTTTTTTTGCTTTTCTTTATTTTTTTTTTTTTTTTTTTTTTTTTTTATATTACGCTATAAATATTTTTGCGGTTTGTCGAAAATGATGACGATAATGACGATTAGGTTGTTGTTGTTGTTGTTGTTGTTGATTGCATTGCAGATGATCACGATGACTGTGACGATGATGATAATGATGATGCTAGAGTTTTGTGTTTTGCTATGCATATGTGTATTATTTTGCGTTGCTGCTTGAGTTGTTTTGGTATAAAACAAAAATTTGTATCGATTTTTTCAGCTTTTGCCTAACAACCATACGCCAAGTAACACGCGTCCTAACCTAAGAGTGCAGACACATTTAATCTATAATATAATCGGACAAGAACTTTTCTGTTTGTTTGCTTCTTTTTTTTATTTTTTTTTAATTTTTATTTTTATTTTTATTTTTTTTTTTTTCAATAAAAGAAAAAAACTCACAAATCATATAAACTTTATTTTCGCTGATCAAATAGAAATTAAGACAAACTGTAAGTAACTATATATATATATATATATGTATATATATATATGTAAATAAATGTATATATATATATATATATATATATGTATATATATGAATAGCAAAAACAAAGCAAAAAAACAAAATCCGATATTCTAGGATATAAACATATGAACTAAATTGAAAAGAAGAAGAGACAATCACAATCATTTACTTTACATTAGAACGGGATTAAACGCGATTGTGACCAGAGTAATAATAATAATAATAACTGAAAAAAAAAAAATAAATAAATAAAAAAAAAACAAGGAAAAATAAACAAAATAGAGCAAAAAGGATTAAAGTTTATTTGATAAAACTCTGCCTGCAACCATAAAATAATTCAAAAAGTAGATATAAATAATGACCGCTTTACGAATGAACAACAAAAACCAAACAACTTTAGAAACATCACCGTCACCGTCACCATCACCATCACCATCACCATCACTGTCGCCAACACCGTCACCATCACCATCAACTTCACCATCGCCATCATCAGTACCATCGGCAACGTCACCGGCAACAGTAACAACAACAAATATATTATCAGCATCAACAACAGAATTCATATCATTGGATTGCAGCGGCCAACGCATCAGCATTAACATGAGTAACGGCATTGGTATCGGCATCGGCATCGGCATTGGTAGATCAATGAAGCTTAAGCATCTTCATTTAATGCAGCTGCAACAATATATGATGCTGTGCTGTGTCATTTTTGGATTACTGTGTCTGTGCATTTGTGTAAGCGGGGTGAGTGTGTTTCATCCTCTTAAAATGCTATATATTCTTAAAATCATCATTGTCGCACGATGACGATGACTATAACGATGACGATGACGATGGAGATGAAGATGAAGATGAAGATGAGGACGACAACAACACGTCGGCGATTTACTATTAATCTACCATATACTCTGTCTGTCTGTCTGTCTGTCTGTCTGTCTGTCCGTTACTTTTTGTCATCAGCATTCAGTTCAACGACCATTTATTAATATAATATTAGTGTAGAGTGAATTTCAGAAATTACTTAAAATTGTTCGATATTTGTATTAATTCTTGTTGTTTCTGCTTTTGTTATTATTATTATTTTTATCATTATTGTTGTTGTTTTCATGTGATAGTAGTTGTTATTGTATACAACCATTAAATTTAATTCATCTTTTGTTATTTTTGTATCGTTATTTTTTTTTTTTTTTTACTGCTGCTGCTGCTGCTGCTGCTGCTACTACTGCTGATGCTGTTGTTGTTGTTGTCATTATCGTCGTCATCGTCGTCGTTGTTTTTATTATTGTACACACATGTAATCGTTGAAATAAAAGTGAAGGCATCAGCAAATAGACTCTTGATTGGTCTTTAACCAAACAAAAGACACATATTATTATTATTGCAAATCTCAAGATAAAATTCGATAATGTACGCGACGACTAAGCTGCGATGTGATTTTCAGGATATACATAATAGCAACATATGATAAATGGTTTTTTTTTCTTTTCTTTTTTTTTTTTGAAATACACACAGAGAATTTTAAAGTGCTTACTGTATATTTAATATATATATATATATATATATATATATATATATATATATATGAATAATTTGTTTTTAGTTTTTGTTTTTTGATAACATTAACGAAGTGAAGGGCTCTGAGAGTATGACAACATGTATGTAAAAGAGTAAAAATAGTACAAGTCTTCGAGAAAAAGATAATTAATAAGAATATATGAGATTTTGTAATATTGAAAAATTAATATATGAAAAAGTTGACCTATACGTCTCAACGCTTTACACGAACAGCAACTGGAAGCTCAAAACTATATAAATAGAAATTATTTTCCTTGGGGAATTTTTACGCACGAATGTTACATCATCTCAAGCGAATTTATTAGAATTGTGTTATGTGTTTGCTATACACCCGATTGCGATTTCTTAATTGACCTTTTAGATGGCAATTTTGTGCCTTTTCCGATTTCCGATTAATATCTCTTATAGGGTATATAGCAGTTTCATGTTTTTCGCCCATTCTGGGCTTTGCTAAAATTGAAGCGAATCACACTCTGCACTTGAACTTGATATATAGTATTATATAAATATCGGTAGGTAATGAATAAAAATTTATAAACAAATTTTCCCCTACCTATCATAATTTTTGCAACCAGGAGCGTGCAAGAGCAGATCGATACAATAAAGATCAATGACATGCTTTAAAGTAATGTAGTTTGATCCTTTACGCTTTGTCTTTCACATTTTCATACAAACTGTAACAGTTAAAAAAAAAAAAAAAAAAAAAAAAAAATTAAAAAACTAAATAACAATTAAACCAATAGATTGTCGAATAGATCTAAAGTTCAATAGATGGATGGATGGATGGATAGTCGGGGAGAGAGAGTCGGATTCAAACGGCAGTTGCCTGAACATACGGACGGAAAGGACGGATAATTGCACAAAAGTATAGTGATTCGATCGAAAAAACAGAGAGAGCAAGACAGACAGTATTCCGATTGGGTAATAGAACAAACTACCAAGTCCACTTAGCAAATTGACTCTTCATAAGAATACTTAGGATGGGAAAGAGAGTAAACATTCGCTCACTATTCCGCTTGGGAACAAGCACTTTGACGAATAGTAAACCCAGGCAAAGGGACGCACGAATAGGTAATTGAAGACAGGCAAGAAGACTGGAGTCCCGACGGGATCGATGAATAGTCGAAAGCTTAGGCAATCATTTGGCGATATATACAAAATTCTGAGTCTTTCGAGTTGTTGCATAACTCAATTCTTACAATTCGCTGTGTGCGGCCAATAGTCATAAAACATAAGATGAATTTGATCTCAATTTATTAACAAACCCATATTGATATTAAAACATATTTGCTATTAATTGATTGTGAAGGTAAATTTTTTCAACAGAATTTTATTAAGATACCATAGTCTTATATTATTCATATATTATGTAGCCTTATATTTTGTTATATATATATATATATATATATATATATATATATATATATATATGTATACATAATGATCTTCGGGCCCAAAACAAGGCGGATGTCCTAACAGAAAGTAAAATTAATGATATCCAAGGTTCGACAAAACGTAAAAGTCTTAGCGTTTGCTTAGAAATCTTTACAAGCTTAAGCAAATACTCAGCGAGCATTTTAAACTAATTTTTTATTTAGAGGGTCTTTCAAAGAACAAAAGAAAAAAGGTTGACGAACATATTCGTATTTAAGGCAAAAAAAAATTTGAAAATAATTTATTATTATAGTAAGCGTACGTATTAGAACCGATCGGTTCCCCATTTGGCATGGCTTACTTTATCGATAAACGCATCTCTCTCACGATAAAGTGTCTTGAGAAGGGGTCGCGGCATTCTTCACCTTCAGCTAGTGTACTATAATTATGTAATAATAATACATCGTTTAATTTAACGAAATCTTAATTTTATGTCCTTTTTTTTACCCATCACCGATAGATGTGGGGGGGATCATATTCGGAATTGATGTAAGCATGTCCGTCTGTTCGCCTACGTATTGTATGTTGTAAAAGTTCTGCTGATTGCAGCCAAAATGAAGCCATCGTTTTCAGATTTGGCAAAAACCTTGGAACTTCTTGAACTCTGATTGTTATTGAAAATGGATCAATATAACGGCGAGTACTTGTACCGATTCTGGTTTTCCAGATTTTCTTTGCCGTTAGCCCACAAAGAACACAGAAAATAAATTTTCTCTTTTATTCTATAAAAATAGAGAAAATCAGCCACGCCCCCGCAATATTATACGGTGTAGCGTGATTTGGTCGCATAATTTTCATACTTGTTTTTCATTTATTTTTTTTTTATAAAATACTAAAACTTTCAATTTTTTTATTACCTTGCAAATGACGGCCTTTCTTAACTATTCTTATATGGACTGGGATTTAACTGGGAATGTCCCTATGAGCTCCAAAGTTGATATAGTTCATTTTTATGTTAAATTAATATCATCGAAGAATATTCACCGGTAATTGTATAAAAAATTACTTACCTTTTTGCCATACAAAGGCTTACTTTCCCTAGGAACAAGCATATGACAAAAAGGTCAAAAGTTTCGGTCATCCAATCCATATTTTCGCCAATCAAATTAAAGTAAATAGAAATAACGTGATTTGGTGAGAAATTTTTAAAATTCAGAAATTGTTCCTATCAAGGCTTTCTTAAAGCAAGGTCTTATACGGATAGTGATCCCCCAAATAGGATAATTTCTTTGCCCAAAACACTTCGGAGTACCGAATTTGATCAAACTATCTTAAATATTGCGACCTATAGTGTAAACATAGAAATGCATGGTCACACAACAGACGGACATAGGGACAGATAAGGTTAAATGTATTAAAAAAAAAAAAAGTCCGTAAATTAAGCGTTGTAATACGAGTCCATACAATTTTAATATACCCTATAGCCAAAAGGGGAGTGGAATCAAAAAATGACATTGCAAATTTCACTATGCGGACTAAGGTGACATAGCTGTAAATGAAGAACGCAAAGGAACGTATAAGCCAGTATAAATCTACCCATATCCCCATTAACATGGTATTAAGAGCATGTACTCGTACATATCTATCAGGGAACGATATGAATATCGTCAATAATGTTGTTAATAGCATCGTCAAAGGTATGGCGGTCAAAACATCCCATTTAGGTTATCTGTAATGAGCATTCAGCTAATACCAATCGACAAGATAGTTCAACGAATTAGCCAACTAAACCGGCCGGCCGGCCGTATGGCAATAAACGTACTTCAAAGCAAAGTCAATCGATTCCTCCTCAATACTGCAATAAATTGAAACAAGAAAAAATAAATAAAAAACAATAATGTCAACCTTCGAGGCAGTCGAGGAAGTCAAAGAAAGAGAAAATCAAGCAAAGACATAATACATTTTTTTAAGCAGAAAAGAAAAGAAGTCAGTCCTCTTATATAATAAAAACATTCACTCCCCAAATTAAATAAAAGTGTGTTTTCATTTTTTTTTTTTATGCCTGAACCTGGTTTGCTTAGTCATCAATTTCTGTATAACTAACATTGTATGTAACTGTAATGCTTTAAAAAAAAAAAAATGATGTTCTCTCTTTGCTATCACAAAAAAATTTCTTTCTAAATTTACACTTTACGAAATGTGCTCCCAATAATTAAGCAAAACAACCACAAATACAATAGTAGCAACAACAACAACAACAACAACAACAATAATAATAATAATAAAACTGATTGCGCATATCAACCACAGAAATTGCAAAGTTTTCATTTGTGGGAATTTTGGCAACGCAAAACTCGCATTAACACAAACATACTTATATGTATATATATACAACAGAGATAGAGACAATACAGAAACTGTCAACAGAAATGAGTGATAATTCAATAAAAAATGCAAGTGATTGCACACATTTGTCTCTTGTTTGTCTTCGATAGTGATCTATACATACAACATACATACTTATATACACATAGGAACATATATATAAATATATAAATAAGTTTAAATGCAACAAAGTTTGAAGATAACAAAAAACAACAATAACAAACAACAGTAACATGTGAAATGATACTCATCGCACACATCAGACAAACACTAATACAATGAAACAAAAGGCTCCCACGCCAAACATTGCTTGCTGCTGCTGAAACCACTTAAAGATGCACAAAATAAATAAAAATGAAGATGAACGAAATATAATATATATATATATATATATATATATATACATACAT